TCCTCCTGGGTCCCTTCCTCTGACTGCATTCACACACCAAGTTGCAGAGAAGACACACATGGCTATAAGGACTGCTAATATTAAATGTTTTGTCCTATATTTAATATGTTTATTTATTATGGCTATCGTATTTCAGAAATGGTGCTTCAAAATTTTATCATTTTTCCATCATTTTCTTATTGATTTCTATGAGTTTTTTTTTTTTAACATGCTCTGCCTTTTGTCTTGTTCCAGATTTGCATTGCAGATGTAGTTTCACTGTGTGATTTAAGATTCCACATTCTTTGCTGTGACTTTTTTTTTTTTTTTAAGATTTATTTATTTGTGCATACAGAACTGGGGTACAGGCCAGAGGCTCAGGGGCAGCGAGAGGCGAGACAGAGCAGGGAGCAGAACAGGCAGATCGACGAAGTTCACTGCTGAGGGGAGCAGCGGGCGGGCCAGGAGAGGTCTGCCACGCCATGTGGTCACCTCCAGGGCAGGCGGGAATCGAACTCATGTGGAAGTGGCTTTATCTTCTTAGTGCTGTGCTTTAACCCGCTGCGCCACCAGGGAGGGCCCTCTTTGCTGTGACTTTTAACAAAGAATTTAATATTACACTTTCTTTTCAAAGGCAGTAGGTAGAGTTTAATGGGCTTCATTTTGTACTTTCAAGATGGCTTCCTTTGGTGACTTCTATCAATGTGAAGAAAAGTCAGCATTATTCTTGATTATGTTTCCCAAAACATGAGGTGTCAACATTCTCTAGATAATTGAAAAGATTTAATCCCCAAGAAATCAACATTTTCAATATATTGGTTTTATTTTTTGTTTCAATCCTTTAGTTCACAGAGTAGTTAAAATACGGGTAGGAATGGTAAAGTGTGAGTAGTGATAAGAACTAGCCCTAAGGTGGCTGAGTGAATGCGACCTCTTTGTGGGGAGGGTTACCTTGTTATTATTGGCAGTGAACTGGGGTAAATTTGTATTGTCTCAACTAACTTCACAGAAATACAATTCCCAGAATTTCTTTCTTGTTTTTTCGGGTTGGGGTTGTCTGCACAGGGATTAGTGCCAGAGCTGAGGGCAGCTGTGACGCAGCAGCCAGGTTTTGTCTTCTGCAGGCCGGAGGCGGCTCCAGGCAGGTGGCGACTCACCTGTGCTGCCCCTGCTCTGCCCTTCAGCTCAGTGCTGACCACAGCCCCGCCGTCATCAGATGTCCTTCCTCTGTCTGGGCCAGGTCTGCATGTGGCAGGATGCAGGTGATACCCATTTCACCTGAAGCTACCTAACCCATGTTTGAGGAAGTGAGAGACAAGTTGCACTTTTCTTTCTGGTTTCAACGACTTCATAGGCTCAAGCGTTTGCTAAGAGGCAGGTTGTGCAAGGTTTGTCCACATCAAGGATTCCTTACAAATGTTATACTAAGAAATTTATAGCAAATGCAGTGGCTAATGTCCGTATTAATAGGAGACCATGGGCCCTTCGTGGTGGCACAGGGGGAGAAAGCACAGCACTAAGAAGCTAAAGCCATTTCCGCATGAGTTCGATTCACGCCTACCCCAAGGTGGAGGTGATCCATATGGCGCGGCTGACCTCTCCTGACCCACCCACCACTCCCCTCAGCAGTGTGCTTTCACAGTCAACCTGTTTCTGCTCCCCACTCTGTGTCTGGTGAATTCTCTCACCGCCACAGCACCTCTGGCCTGTACCCAAGTTCTGTACGCACAAATAAATAAACCTTTAAAAAAAAAAAAAAAGAAGTTAAAGCCACTTCCACTTGAGTTCAGTCCTCACCCTGGAGATGACCCACATGGCGTGACAGACCTCTCCTGAATGACTGCCCTCTGCTCCCCTCAGCAGTGTACTTTATCAGCTGGCCTATTCTGCTCCCCACACTCTCTGGTGAAGCCTCTCACCTCCCCTGCACCTCTGGCCAGCACTGCAGCTCTGTTTCAATAAATAAATAAATCTTTAAAAAAACAATAGAAGATTTTTGTGTAGATTCTGTTACTAGTTCCAGCAATGGCATGAGGGCTAAACCCTGTGACTCAGCATTATTCTACTTCAATAACTATGGTTCTGCTTCTCTGAATATATCTTAACTGAAAAGCCTAAAGGAAACAGCTAAGGAAATGATTTTCATGATGGTCCAGATGACTGGAGCCAGTTTCAGTGTGAGCATTTTTAAGTGCAGCTGCCACTTGGAATCATTATGGGGCAATTTTTTCAACATTGGACAAATATGCAAATGTCCAGTACCACTGACTTTAAGTGAACAAATAAGACTGTGAATGTATTAGAAGAACTATATTCTTGACACATTTCCAAATGACATAAAAGGAGTTTTTACTCAGAATTATCCCTGATCAGGACCACAGAAGAATCAACCACAGTCACCGCCATCGCCTGTCCAGCACATGCAGGTGTGACTTCAGCTCGGATCCTGAGCAGATGTCTTTCTTACATTTCTTGCACTCAGGGTTTTTGTTCACCTTTTACTATCATTTCAAACACAGTGTATCTCTGAGAGCACAGAAATACATTGCTGAATCTTCAAGTTGTAAGGATTTAATGGTGAGGGAGAAGGTATAGTCTGTTTTCTGGAGTTTTACAGAAAAGCGGCCCTTTACCGCATTGTTATCAGAAGAATACTGACGAATAACATTAGTCATCTTCCCATCGGGAAGCTGCTTGTACCAGTACAGGTAATAGTAACTCCAACTCCAAGGTACTTCATACCGACACTTCAGGGTGACTTCTAACTTTATTTGTTGGACTGTAGTTGGCTCGTCTTGAATTACTTTCTGGGCCACACCAGATCCTGTGGGGAAATAAGAAAACAGAGCTAATGCAATGAATAAAATATTATAGAATTAGGCTAGTTTTGTATCCAAAGATAAATCAAGTTGAAGTTGTCACATGCTCTCCCCAGTGCTCTTCCCCTCACCCATGACAAGCACCATGTGCCCGGTGCTGTGCTTCAACCCTCCCCACCCCCGCCTGGCCCCAACCTACCAGAGCAGGCGAAGGCCACCAGTGCCCACAGCAGGCTGGAGGGCGCCATGGGGCGTGTGTGCAGTTGTGCCTCCAGCTGGGAGCCCCCGTGTCTCTGAGAGACTGGCGAGGTGTTTATGTAGTTCCTGGGTGTGATGCTCATCTCTCACAGGAAGTGGGGTTTCTTATGTTCCATTGATTGCTGGGTCACTTATAGGTAGAAAAGACTGGCTCACCCAAACATTTATATTATTACCTTTATATTATTACATAATAATAAAAACAAGTCAATACATAATAATAAAAACAAAATGCACCAATAAAGGAATTCATAGTACAGATTTGAGATGAGGTAAAATGAAGATTGAATCTCTGATAATTTTGAGTGCAAAAATATGGGGGATTCATGAAACAGAGTGCTATGGATTTTCCCCCTCCCTGCAAGTATTTAATGCTCATTCATTTACCTTGTATAATTACCCTCTATCTAGAAACTAATAAATTTTTAAAATCCATGGGTCTTGTTATAGGGCACCCCAATTCTGTTAGAGGACAGGGGGAGAGGGACACCCCTGAAGCCCCAAAACCTGCCTGCTCTAAGTGGGTTC